GAGACAGGAAGTCTACTTCTGGGTATTGCATGTTTGTTGGAGGGAATCTGGTTACATGGCGAAGTAAAAAGCAGAATGTGGTTGCTAGATCAAGTGCAAAGGCTGAATATCGAGCTATGGCTCATGGTGTTGCTGAACTACTGTGGCTTAGGACCCTTCTTGGTGAACTCGGGATAAAGGTCGAGTGTCCTCTCAGGCTGTACTGTGGCAACAAGGCTGCCATCAACATTGCAAATAACCCAGTGCAACATGATAGGACGAAGCGCATTGAGATTGGCCGACACTTAGTTAGAGAAAGAATAGTCTCAGGGGAACTCTGCATTCCTTATACTCCCGAGGTGCAGATTGCAGATGTGCTAACAAAAGGACTAGCTTCAACAAAATTCTTAGACTTACTTGGCAAGCTAAACATGACTGACATCCATGCTTAGCTTGAGGGGGAGTGTTGGTTCGGCTGGTTTAGTGTTTATGTTAGTCATATTTGTGTCTTAAGTCCTTAGTTGTTGGGCCTAAACTTGTTTTAGTGTTTTATTTGTCTAGGTGTCCCATCACTAATCAGGGGCATTCCAGTCCATTCATGTAATATTATTTTGTAAACATCTATATAAGATTGTAGGGCTGGCTGAAGTGAGTAAGCCGCCATTCTCAAATCTTCTTCTCTTCTTCTTCTTCTTCGGCTGCTGTGTTCCAGCAAACAGTTGCAACCCCCGAGTGTGCAGTACATGGTATTGAAGTTGTAATTATAAGGCTCTAGCCATTTTGTTCCTGGTCTCTCCCTAGCTCTGTATGTTGACAAAGGTAGCTAACTAAGCCAGAATGTAGTAGATTTTAATCATACAGAAGCAAATCGAACCTCAAATAAGTATTTTCTTGAATAGTGGGTACTATTCATGTCACTTTAGCAGTGCTAAGAGAAGCAAATATAGAGACAACTAAGAATAGAAATTTCAGAAGTCATGATTTAAAAAACTTTTTTGTTAAATTTCATAACACTCCAATTACTCAATAAGCCATTTCCAAAAATGGACTACTTGAGATCTCTTAAGTTGTCTATATAGGTTGAACTCTATCATACTTCTATTAGGGCTGGAATAAGACTCAACAATAATCTGTAATCTAAGATGTACTTTCACAGCAAGTTTAACTCTACTTTAGACTCCTAGTTACACAAAATCAGAAACAAAGTAATAAGCAATTAGTAAACTCCAAAAATAATTTAGAAATCTATTTCTAAATAAACTACAATTCTAAATTAGAAATACAAACAACTCAAGCTCAAACAGCAAATATTAAACCAAGTACCAACTACTAAAAGACTGTTAGTAGTAACACTCCATAAACACCAAAAACTATTTTCTTGAAGATCTGAGCAATTCTTTGGTAGCTTCAAAACTCTCTACAACAATGCCCTACATTGGTTGCTAGGTAGTTCCAAAAATATAATTGCAGTTTCCAGTCTGATCAGTCTTGTAAAATACTGAGGGACAAATATATGAACCCTGAAGTTACATGGGCTATTTTCTGAACATAAAGGTCTATCTATATTATAGACTGAAAGCTCCTGTACCAGTATGGAGGACTGGAGGATCGATTATCATCACATCATTCATGCAGGTTTGCCAGAGGATGTTATCAAGAGAGCAGTCTTTGTGTTGGAGGCCTCTGGGGCTAACAAGAACATTGAACGACTATGCAGCGAGAAAATAGCAGCTAGAGATCAGCAATACAAGGTGATGCCCTTTGATATTAAAATTCAACCATAATGTATCACTCCTCTATTTTCTTTTTTATGGAACTTTAGACTAGTTCTCTAAACTGGATGCAGGATGCGGTGGATAAATTGTTGGCCTTTGATGCTCTTAAGGGTGATCTCAACCTCTTCTTCCAAGATATATTTCCTTCTGAAACCTAAAAGCACCAAGGTTATTTTTTGCTTTTCCTATTTTGTTATAGCATGCATGGAAATGGCATCATCAAAATTCTATGCATGAACAGCTTGGCCTTTTCACTTCATTTTATCCTAGCTGGGATTCAGTTTACTACATTGGTCTGTAAGGTTGGTGAACTGTTGGAACTGTACTAGGTTCACCAAAATGGATACATAGAACTTACGACTTAAATGAGAGCTACTGCCCTCCTGGCTCAGCTTTTGAGTCTGAAAATTTTATTGAGGATCCTCCAGACACTTGACAGATTAACTTTAGGCAAAAGGAGTTAAGGTGTAGATTCAATTGGCCTAACCCGGGCCTGACCCAACTCAACCAAAGATTTTGCATAGGTTGGGCTTGAGTTTTCAAACTTCAAGCGGGACTTATGCCAAAAAACTGAAGTCTAACCTCAATTTAGGTTGAGCTTGGGTTGAGGGCACGGGTAGCCTGAGCCCGATTTGATCAATTTGAACCCACCCAACATTTTGTGATACATATATCTACATATTATCAATATATTCTACCTAGAAATTGGGCCACAAAGCTCAACACATCCAATCCTAAGCCCAACCCAAGATGTTGGGTTAAAGTTCAGGTTAAGGCTAGGTTGGTAAGAGAAAAATTATTGGTAATTTTCAATAATTACTGATAATTTACTGATATATAACAAAAATAGAATGACAATAATTACTGGTAATTTACTAACCCAAACCTGAGTTTAACAATCCAAGGTTAAGCCCATGTTTAACAACTTATGCCCAACTCGAGCTTAACCTAACATCTTGAGCTAGACTTGGGCTTGGGTGTATTAAGCTATGTAGCCCAGTCTATCATAAAATGTTGGCATGAGCTCAAATGGGTTGGATCGAGCTTGAACTACCTGAGGTCTCAACCCAAGCCCAACATGAGTTCTAACCTTGAGGTTTTTTTTGGCCTAAACCCAGCCGCCAGCTTAAAGTTCAAAAACTCTAGTCCAACTTGTGCAAAAGCTTTGGTTGAGCTGGGTCGGGCTTGGGTTAGTTCCATCCAACCCAAGCTACAACCCTAGCTCCTTTTTCTTCACTTTTTTAACAAAACTCATGCATCTTATGGGTCCCCGTTAGTAATTAATAGCACTAATTTTAATTTATAGTTATTAACAATAATACTAATTACTAAAAACAATAATATTTTAAGGTATTTTTAATTATTCACGAAAATAGTTAATAATTCTTTTTAAATTTTATAATTAATATTTAAGAAATTATGAATAAATTTATATTTATTGTTAATAATTCTTAATTATGAATTAATAAATCTTATAATTCTTATTTTATAAAAAACTATTACTGTTGTTAATATAGTAATATTATTAATAAAACTAATATTATGAATTATTTAAAAAGTAATAAAATAACTAATTTAATTATTCATGTAAATAATTATTAAATTTTAAAATTTAATCTTAATAAATAAATTAATTATTATTGGTAATTAATTAATTTGTTGGTAATATTTTGGTATTAAACTTTGGTAATTCTAAATTAATGATGAATATATAAATAATATATTTTTAATTGAATATTGGGAGTTTTTAATTAATCCCAATATTAAAATAGTAATAAAAATAATTAATTTAATTATTCATGAAAACAATTATTAATTTTTAAATTATAATATTAATAAAATAATTAATTATTATTGGTAATTACTTAATTTTGGTAATATATCACTAATTAATTACTAAAAAAAGTAATATATTTTGGTAATTCTTAATAAAGCATGGATATAAATAATAGATTTTAAGTGAATTTTGGTATTTTGTAATTAATCATGAAAATAATTAATTAATGTTGGTAAACTATTAGTAAATTGTTGAAAATATTAGCAATTAATCCTAAAAATTATTAATTATTAGAAATAGTAATATTGTTTTGGAATTTTTAATTAACCACGAAAATAATTAATTCATTTTGGCATGAGTTATAATAAAATAAAATGAAATTATTAATTATAACAATTTTTAATATAGCATCCAAAGTAAATGGGTCGTAACTGGGTTGGATTAATGAAAACCAAACCATACCCGATCAAGTAGTGTGGGGAGAGAGAGAGAGAGAGAGAGAGAGAGGGAGGGAGGGAGTTGTGTCTTAGTTAGTAGGGATGTGGGGATTAATTAGGAGTGTAAAAAAATTAGTTATGAGCAATATTTAAAGAATGAGGGGAGGGTTTAGGAATTAGAAGATGATGTTTTTTAAATAATTGGAAAGTTGGGTTAGAAAGGGAGAGAGAACAAGGGTGGGGAAATGAAAGTTTTAAGGACAATAAATTAGGAGTGTGGATAGATTTTAGGAGAGAGGGAATAAAGAGAGAGATTTTAGAAGAGAGGGGATAAAGAGAGAGATTTTAGGAATGTTTTTTCGTAAGGAAATTTAAAAAATTGATGACTTGGTAGTTTGGGAGTGGTAGGAAAGGGAAGGAAGAGAGAATAAAGGAGAGAGCAGCATAGGGGGTTTGGAGCAAGGAGAGGGATGGCGACGTGGACCACCTTGCTTTAGATAAATAGATAGATAGATGTGTAAATATTATATTAAATATATAATATTATTTATATTATATATATATGAAATATACTTAAAATATTATTTGCATATTAATTTTCCTTTATTTAATAAATACGTTTCTGGAAATAAACTTTTAATTAAAAAATGTGGGGATTCAGGTCCCAGATGGGGAACCCATCTCCATCGGGGATCAGGGATGCAAGCTAAATTTTTTCCCAATAGGGATCGAGGTCAAAGACAGGAATTAACTTAAAACTCAGTATCGGGACAGGGGTATGTTCCCCGCTTTGAATCCACCAATTTCCATACCTACTCGGGTTCATCCCCCAAACCCATAAATATAGTTCCAATAATTATGGTAATTATAAATGTAGTATCAAATAATTATGGAAATTATTAAAATTTTCCAATTATTTACTTGAACAATTGGAAGTTTTATTATTTCACTTTCACTAAATTAAATTACCAAAATCAGTAATTTTTAGTAATTAAATTACCAAAATTGTAATAAATATCAAAATTAATGAAAATATAAAAAATAGATTTATACTTATTGAAATTAATTTTCCACTAAAAAATAAATTACTGAAAATTTTTAATTTTTATTTGATAATATCATTAAATATAATAAATTGACAAAAATTACTGAAAATGTAAAAAATAAATTTATATTTATTAAAATAAAATTTTCAATGAAAAATTGCCAATAATTTTTAATTAATAAATTTGTATTTATTAATATTTTAATTAATTATCAAATTTTCAAAAATTTCTGAAATTAAATTACCAAAAGCAGTAATTTTTAGCAATTAAAGTTTCCAATTTACCAAAATTACAAAAAGTATAGATTAGGTGTTGATATTTACTAAATAATATTCAATAATATCAATAATTATTGAAAATATCAAAAATATTACACAAATTAATTTAACCACGTTTTTTTTGGTTTTTTGTTGGTTTATTGGGCATGTAATATAAATTAAGAGTTGTTTTAGGAGGAATTTTAGGTGGGAGATAGTTTAGGAGAAATTTTTGGAGGGGGGTTGGCTAAGTGTTTTGGGAACATGAGAGAGAGAGAGGAGTTCAAATTAGCCCCCCACCAGATTGCCCCCCATAACATCCCACAACACATTCCCGCCGTGTATTGTGAACATCTCCCGATGATGACATCATCATTTCTAGTATCATCATCGGGAGATGTTCCCAATACATGCCAGGAGTGTGTTGTGGGACGTTGTGGGGGGCAATCTTGTGGGGGGCTGATTTGATAGAGAGAGAGAGAGAAAGAGAGAGAGAGAGAGAGAGGGACTATAATGAAGAAGAGAAGGCTGCCACGTTCCTACATGGATGGGCTTTAGGCAAGTTTCCATTTGTGTGGGTTGGGAGAGATTATAGGAAAAGATTGGAGAGAGAGAGACATATTTTAAGAGAGAGATTATATGAAAAGATTTCCTAAGTTAATGGGTTTTCTTCCTATTTTAATGGGGCAAAAAGGGGAGATTGCCATGCTAGGTAGCAACTACATGGGCTTCTAGAGGGAATCTTGCACCCCCTCTAGAATTGCTTGGTTTGGGTAACCGATATACTTGTTCATGGGTTGGGTAGCCTAACAGGCCGACCCTACCTGGCCTAATATTTTTCAAGATTGGACAAAATTTTAGGCCCGTGGGCTTAGGCTCAGGCTTTAAAGATTGGACTTGACAATTTTTCGGATTGGGCTCGGGCTTTTTCAAATAAGCCTGGCTTGATGCTATTACATATAATAGAAATATGCATTATTTATATATAATAAATATATATAATATCTATTTATTTATAAAGTTATTATCAAATATTAATTTACTACTCAAGAAATATGAACTAATTTATTAATTTATTATCAAATTAATATAATATTAGTTTATTAAGTTACACAAAAAATAGGACATGTTATGTGTAGCTCAAGCTTTGGGCCTTATATAAGGGTAGGGCTCGGGCTCAAGATCTAGGCCGAAGGTTGGGCCGGGCCCAGGCTCAGACTTGGACATTTTTCTGTTGATAAAGAGGCAAAGCCCGGCCCGACCAGGCCTGTGAACAGGTCTAGTAACCAAACAAGGAGAGGATTGTTGACGTGGCAAGCTCTACTTTAGTATATATATAGATATAGATATGTAAAATATTTAAAATTTTTCATTATTTGAATTTTATTTATTTTAATGTTATTACGTAATTTAAAATATTTTGTTATATAATTATTTAGCTATTTTTAATGTTTGTTATTTAAGATATATAGTTATTAAAATATTTAAATAATGTTATTTTTCAATGTTAAATTTTATTATTTGAATAACATTTAAATTGAATAATTCGTAAAATTATAATTTATATTATTACTACATAATTTCATGATGAATTTTGTAAAAATATAGAATTATTAATAATATGAATATTATTTAATCTATTATAATTAATTTTTGTGTTTTGAATAAATATTTTAAAGTTAGTATATAATTCCATTATAATATTTAAATAATTTTGAAAATTTTTAATTGAAACATTCTTTAGATGGATGTGGATAAAAAGTGGGGGAGAGGATAAATAGGAATTTGAGAAAGTTTAGGAGGGAATCTCTGTACTAAATTAGAGATAACTTAAGAGATAAATAGGAGTTAGGGATAATTTAGGAGATAAATAGGGATTAGAGAC